TCCCATCTTCCCTCCCTCCCTCCCATCTTCCTCCCTCCCTCCCATTTTCCTCCCTCCCATTTTCCTTCCTCCCTCCCATTTTCCTCCCTCCCTCCCATCTTCCTTCTCTCCCTCCCTCCCTGCCTCCCAGAATACCCATGTGGACAGGCGACCATTCAAGAGACATGGAGTTTTGTAACTAACGGTACTAATCCGCATGTTTCTGCTTCAGAAGTGGCACCTGAGCGTTCTCTTAGAGCAGGCGGTCAATTCAGGTGGGAATTCTGATGAAGTTTGCTGGAATAATACAACATTGCACACACATTTTGAAGCGTGTAGCTTTACCCTAAGATTTTCTCAGTGTTTCTTGTGGCGTCCTCGGTGCCCTCTGAGCTGGGTGGTTTCCTTGCAGACGTTTCATAACCCAACTAGATAACGTCATCAGTGCAAGAAAACTACCAACCTCAAACAGCATCGAGGACCCCACAGTGCAGCTTTCAGCTACAAATATTCCCTTCTGTCAGTAGCAAAGAGTTAATTTTATCTGCAGGCATGCCAAGGAATTGTTCGTATTAACGCTGTTTCTCTTTTTTTTTATATGGGTAACAAATATCCACCTAATGCAGTCACAGTTTCTAAAAGAAGCAGTTGCCAAACAGCAAGAAACTTCTAAATTACAAAAGATCTAAACTATAAAAACTTGGTGCTATAGTTCCCCCTCTTTAAAAAAAAATTGAAGGACTAATTCACCTTAAGTGTTTTGTTATGGACACAGAAACACATGAAATAGATAATAGATTATACATCATTATAATGACTGATCTATGAAAATGACATATTCATGCCCCAAATAATTTTTTTTCATACTGTGCATGCATGACTGACGTGGAGAATTTACTGGAACCAAACTGCATAGCGTTTGTTTAGCTAGCTTTAGATGAAGATTAGACCAGTTTATAGAGCATATCAGCTCCTACCATCTGGTGATTTTTTTAAAAAAACCACCAGATGGAAGGAACTTGGATTTTCTGCTATGATCATTCCTTTATGAATCACTATTGAGTGAAAAGTTATCTGAGCATAAAATAATTCTACGTGAAGAAACTCTATAATAATAATAATAAAGTTAGAAGGGACTTTGGAGATCATCTAGTCCAACCCCCTGCTCAGGCAGGAAACCCTATATCATTTCAGACAGATGGCTGTGCAGTCTCTTCTTAAAAATGTCCAGTGTTGGAGCATTCACAGCTTAACCAGGTTGTTCCACTGGTTAATTGTTCTAACTGTCAGGAAGTTTCTCCTTAGTTCCAGGTTGCTTCTCTCTTTGGTTAGTTTCCATCCGTTGCTTCTTGTCCTGTGCTTTGGAGAACAGCTTGACTCCCTCTTCTTTGGGGCAGCCCCTGAGATATTGCAACGCTGCTATCATGTCCCCCCTGGTCCTTCTCTTCATTAGACTAGACATACCCAATTCCAGCAACCGTTCCTTATATGTTTTCGCCTCCAGTCCTCTAATCATCTTCGTTGCTCTTCTCTGCCCTCTTTCCAGAGTCTCAGCATCTTTTTTACATCGTGGTGACCAAAACTGGATGCAGGATTCCAAGTGTGGCCTTACCAAGGCCTTGTAAAGCGGTACTAACACTTCACGAGATAGCTGTCCGATAGCTGTCTGATATTCAGTCTTCAAGGGATATGATTTTAAACCCGTAACAGAACACGCATTAAATATAAAAGTTGATCAAATGAAATGCATGGACATCCTTGACGCCTTTCTAAGAAACACGAGTAAATTTGAGCTTTAATTTTGTGATAGCCTGTGAAAACAACAACACCTTGATCCATCCGGTACAAATGAAACCTGTGCTACAATGCTCACATATCTTTTCATAGCTGGATTTTTTTCTTAATTTTGAGTCCTTGCCTATTAATTCATTGCTGAATCATTTGGTGTGTGTGTGTTTTTTAATATTAGAGTCCGTCGCCTCCTCAGCAAAAACGCTGGCTGAAAGTGAGCCCATTTCGAGAAGCGTCCCTCGGCCTTCCAATCACTCTCAAAGCTGCAAACACGAGAATCACCAGGAAACGCTGGGCGGCCCGTGTAACGGGGCCGCGTCGGGGAGATGGAAGTCGCATTCCAGGAACACGAGGAATCAAAAAAGGCAGAAGAAATCGTTTCCTGCATTGCAAAAGCACCATCCAACTTTGCTAGAAATGGTAAGAGGCCTAAGAGTTTTACATAATTTATTTTACAGGTAGTTCTCCACCTAACAGCAGTTCGTTTAACGACCGTTTGAAGTTACAGCGGCACCGAAAAATGTGATTTATGACCATTTTTTATACTTAACAACAGTTGTGGGCTCCCCGTGGTCAGGTGATCAAAATTCAGACGCTTCGCAACTGACTCGTATTTATGATGGTTGCAGCGTCCCGGGGTAATAATAATAATAATAATAGTATTAATAATAGTAATAATAGTAGTAATAATAGTAATAATAGTAATAATAATAATGATGATAATAGTAGTAGTAGTAGTAATAATAATAATAATAATAATAATAATATAAAGTTGGAAGGGACCTTGGAGGTCATCTAGTCCAACCCCCTGCTCACGTAGAAAACCCTACACCATTTCGGACAAATGGCTGTCCAGTCTCTTCTTAAAATCTTCCAGTGTTGGAGCATTCACCGCTTCTGGAGGCAGGTAGTTCCACTGGTTAATTGTTCTCACTGTCAGGAAGTTTCTCCTTAGTTCTAGGTTGCTTCTCTCCTTGATCAGTTTCCATCTGTTGCTTCTTGTCCTGCCTTCAGGTCCTTTGGAGAATAGCTTGACTCCCTCTTCTTTGTGGGAGCCCCTGAGATACTGTAAGACTGCTATCCTGTCCCCCCTCGTCCTTCTCTTCGTTAAACTAGACAGACCCAATTCCAGCAACCGTTCCTTATATGTTTTAGCCTCCAGTCCCCTGATCATCTTTGTTGCTCTTCTCTAGAGTCTCAGCATCTTTTTTACATCGCGGTGACCAAAACTAGATCCATGTGATTGTAATTATTTCAATCATTTTAAAGCACTTTTAAGAATTCCAGCTAGCCTGGAATTTGTCAGAAATATTCTTTATGGTTTATTAAATTGTTTATTGTTTGTTACATTACTTTGTTGGTTATTGTTTATTGAATGTCCCTCTCGCTGTGAGGCGAAGGCTTCTTAGTAAGTTTTAAAAAAAAATTGATCAGGTTGAATTAGGACTTGGAACAGACCTTCTGAAAAGCACAGACTTGACTTCAGCATTATTCCAATATATCAGAAGTCAAATGGAACGTACAAAAAGGTCTCTTTTGTGGAAATGCTGATTTAGGCAGTCTTTACCTGCAGATTCTGTCTTCAAAGGTATACACTGCAAAAACAAGTTGGGTTTATCCAGTCTATTAGGGCAGATTGTTTGGTTTGGGCTGAGTACGTTGTGTTTATTCAGCAAACTGCTTTTGCTCATGATGTATAAGTTCAGCTGTAGAGTTCGAAAATCTCCTTTGGGGGAAACCTGATAAACTTGAAACCTCTTTTCACGTTCTGCACCTTTTTGTAGCTGCAAGGCAGGTGACCAGCTTGATTCACCCTGTTCAGAAAACCTCACAAGGTGCCCCAATTTAAAAAACTGTGCGCCTTTCCAACCGATAGCCTCAACTCAGATTTATTATATGCTTAACAAGAACAATACATCGCAAAGAAAATCAGCTGCTAAAATTCATGGGGGAGAAAAGTCCCTCCGGCATCGTCAATATCACAAAAAACCCAGGTTGACTAATAATGTGTGTACAGAATGTTACGAGTAGTAGAAAAATTATGGTGTAGTGGTGCCATACAATTACTGCACTGCTTGAAACTTGGCCCTTTGATGACTTGTGGACTTCAGCTCCCAGAATTCCTCAGCCAGCCTCCATTTTGTTTGTTAGATTTAAGACAGGGGTCTTCAAACTGTTACTAGCTTGCCAGATCCACTTTACATCCGTGTTACTAGCTTGCCAGATCCACTTTACATCCGTGTTACTAGCTTGCCAGATTCACTTAACATCCATGTTACTAGCTTGCCAGATCCACTTAACATCCGTGTTACTAGCTTGCCAGATTCACTTAACATCCATGTTACTAGCTTGCCAGATCCACTTAACAACCGTGTTACCAGCTTGCCAGATTCACTTAACATCCATGTTACTAGCTTGCCAGATTCACTTAACATCCATGTTACTAGCTTGCCAGAGTCACTTAACATCCATGTTACTAGCTTGCCAGATCCACTTAACAACCGTGTTACCAGCTTGCCAGATCCACTTAATAGCCGTGTTCCTAGCTTGCTACTTAACCATGTTACTAGCTTAATAACTGCAGTGATTCACTTAACAAACTGTGGTGAGAAAGGTGGTCAAATGGGGCAAAACCCAACCTAACCGCTGTCTCGCTTAGCCACGGAAAATTTGGGCTCAGTTGTCGTCAGTCGAGAACTACCCTTACTTTGCATCTTGGTTTTAACATAGCTTTTTGGAGACCACAACAGACCGTCTATCTTTTGTTCCTTCCTCCACAGCTTCTGGCGAAGGACATCCGTCACGAAAGGAACGTGATCCTCCAGTGCATCCGCTACATTCTGCAGAGCGACGGCCTCGGCCTCCATTTAGAAAGTAGTTCAGACGCTCCGTCGGACGGCAAGGCAACTCCTGAGCATGCACAGAAGCTGGCGGCAGCCGAGCCCTGCCAATTCATCAACTCTCACGGCTCCGACCGGAACGAAACAGAGCCGAGCGAAGCATTTCAAAGCAAGGCAATCTCTGCCTCTCCCGCCGTTGATGAGGATATTTGGGAATCTACAGGGATCACTTGCGAAGACGACTGATAATTTTATTTTATTTTATTTTATTTTGAACCTATGCGTGGGTAACCGTTACCCAACTTCGGATGCTCGCCGAAGCTCCTTAGACTGTAGGTTGCATCCCAAGAATTGAAATTAACTCTTTTGAGGAAAAGCTAAAACTCGGTTAAGACGTCATGATCTTGCAACCCCGTTCTTCAGGGATTCATTTTTTTTACTTACTGTAAGTGTGAATAAAAAGCATATCAATACTGTTTTATTTACCTTTTATGTCGGGGATGGCCCACAAGGTGTGGTCAAGAAAAGGTAGTCGCCACGATGGAAGCTCTGTCTATATTTTAAGGGTGTCACCCTCAACATATCCTGTTTTTAGATTTACCAAAATATCAGCAGTTTCGTTTGATAACTAAAAATCCCTTACCAGCAACAAGCTTTATTATATTAAAAGAAAAAACATAGGCAAGAGAAAAGCTTCAGGAAGTATTTTGCTGTAACTGAGCTTGAAAATGATGGGCCCGTTCTGCAAGCGCGTTGGGTTTTATCTTTATTGCTGCTTTACTCTCATTCCTGTGATGGAAAAATGTTCATCAGGGAACAAAAAACAGGAGGAAAATGTTTTATCTGCTCAGATTAGAGTCTGTGGATCGAGCAATCTTCCCTGCCCCTTGTTTTAAAGTTGTAATTCCTGTGAACTACTGTTTGAAATGAGAGGACAACATAAAAATAAACTTGGGATCCCTCGAAATATTTGGACAGAGTTCTTGAGCATATCCCAAGTGTGAGTAGATTTGCACTCAAAACAGCCCACCGCAAAGTAAGTCTAAACTGAGTGGGACATAGCTCAGCCCATAAGGTTGACTTTTGGGAGTTACTGCTGCACTTTGATTTGAACGTCGAGGCGGGCAGAAAAAGGACTTCCGTTTTCTGAAAGCGGGTTAACTACATAATCTTATTTTATGCCAAAGTCGGCGATTTAAAGGTGTTGTCTGTCTCTGCAGCCTGGCAGAAATGGTCAAATGAACTTGTTTGCTTTAGAGGAAAATCAACCATTACATTTATTAGTGGCTGGAACCCCCCCCCCCCTTTTTTTTTTTTTGCTGGAAAAGAATAAATGATTTTTTGTGATTTATGGTTTGATTATTAGAAAGGGAAGCTTACCAGAAACGAAATGACAAGAATGGATAAAATATAAATTCATGTATAATTACTGTCAAAAAGATTGGAAATCCTTCCCTCCCTCCCTTCCCTTCTTCCTTCCTTTCCTTCCTTCCTTCCTTCCTTCCTTATCAGTACCCTCCCTCTCTCTCCCTTCCTTCCTCTTCCTTCCTTCCTTGTTACTTATTTACTTATCAGTATCCTTCTTTCCTCCCTTCCATCCTTTCTTCCTCCCTTCCTTATCAGTATCCTTCCTGCGTCCCTTCCTCCTTCTGTCCTTCCTTCCTTCCCTCTCTCCTTCCTACCTCCCTCCCTTCCTTATCAGTATCCTCCCTCCCTCTCCCTTCCTTCCTTCCTTCCTTCCTTCCTTCCTTCCTTCCTTCCTTCCTTCCTTCCTTCCTTATTACTTATTTACTTCTCAGTATCCTCCCTTCCATCCTTCCTTCCTCTCTCCCTTCATCTGTATCCTTCTTCCCTGCATCCCTTCCTTTCTCTCCTTCCTTCTCTCTCCTTCCTTCTTCTCCTTCCTTCCTTCTTTCCTTTTCATCCCTGCCACCCTCCTCCCTTCCTTCCTATTTCCATTTTCCTTCTCACTTATTCACTTTTATTTTTCTTCGTTATTTTTGTACTACTTTGTTGTTGTTTTTTTTAAAAAAAAAAAATCTCCAGTAAGAGAGGCAGAAGGAGAGAGAAATAACATTGTTCACCTGCGGAATTCGCCGCCACAAGGTCACTAAGACGTTTTGAGAGAGGACTGGTTAAATGCACGGAGAACGGTATCAATCTCAAGATGTTGTGTCATTGCCTTCCCATTGTGGGTAGCCAGCAAACTCCCAATAGCACTTTAGGGGCGCAATCAAAACCTCAAAATCTTTTTTATTACGATCCTAGATCCGAAAATTGTAAATTTTAAAATATAAATTACAGGGGGGGGGAACGAAATTATATGAGGGTGTCGATCTTCGCTGCAATAGGTAGCAATTCTCCTTCTTGTAAATTCTCAATTCCATTGGGGATTACTGGAGCGTTACTTTTGGAGATCTATGCCGTAATGGCAATAAAGGAGGACATTGTCGATTGTTTCTGTGTGTCTCCGCAATCACAAGGACACAATATGTCACGTCTGGGTGTTTAATTGTGTCTGCCACAGGGAAGAGCAGAAGGTAATCCATTATGCAAAGCTCTGAAAAATTCTGATTACTTTGCAGGTTTCCAGGTGTTCACAATGAGGAGCATTCTGGAGGCCTGTGTGAAGCAGCTAATTTTGGTTGATAATTCTACATTCTCCAGCCTTTTAGGGCAGTGTTTCTCAACCTTGACAATTTTAAGGCATGTGGACTTCAACTCCCAGAATTCCACAGCCAGCAATGCTGGCTGTGGAATTCTGGGAGTTGAAGTCCACATGCCTTAAAATTGTCAAGGTTAAGAAACACTGTTTTAGGGGTACAACACAAGGAGAGACATGGGTCCGCTTTCAACCACTTGATAAGGTACTGGTAGATCAAGAAAGAAGAGGGAGGCTATTAAAATGATCACATATTTTGCCCAATATCTCAGATTGGGAAGTGGTAATCATTTTTAATGGAAGAGAGAGAACGCAGAGCTGATACCCATGAACGCACCTGTGTCCGTCTTGCCTAGGGTCTTTCATGGGTGTTTTTTTTAATTTTTAAACCTACATATTTATTTATTAAAAGTAAAAGGTAAAGGAGAATTTTTACTCTGCTAGTTGTTGCTGACTATTTATATCCTGCTTTTATTTGACCTGACTCGTATGGAATGGAATGGAATAGAATAGAATAGAAAATATGGAATAGGAATAGAATAGAATAGAAAATATGGAATGGAGTAGAATAGAATAGAATAAAGGAATAGAATAGAGTAGAATAAAATAGAATAGAATAGAAAATATGGAATAGAATTAAGGAATAGAATAGAATAGAAAATATGGAATAGAATAGAATAGAAAATATGGAATGGAGTAGAATAGAATAGGATAAAGGAATAGAATAGAGTAGAATAAAAATAGAATAGAATAGAAAATATAGAATAGAATAGAATTAAGGAATAGAATAGAATTAAGGAATAGAATAGAATTAAGGAATAGAATAGAATAGAATAAATGAAGAATAGAATAGAACAAAATAGAATAAATAAAGAAGAATAGAACAGAACAGTAGAATAGAACAGTAGAACAGAGTAGAATAGAATAAACTTTATTCTATTCTATTCTATTCTATTAAACTTTAAATGTACACTAATCAGCATACATTAAAATGAAATTTCATTGCATTCAGCTCTCAATGGGTCACCACCTCCAATATACACTACATAAACATGACAAAAGATTGTGCATATACCCCCACACACGCACACCCTAGATGACACAGAGAAACAACACAGTCTAGTTCGGATGTATACATATGCATGGTGAGAAAAAAGAATTCCTGCAAATTTACAAGACAAAATCCCAACTTTACACCCCAAAAAACCCCAAATTAACTCTGTCCTTTATGATTTCAAATAATGTTTTAAAAAATAAGGTGATACCATCATATATATTTTTGGGGGGGGGAATTCCCTTTTTCACCGTAGTTCTACATTTACACGGATCGGAAAGGGCTTAAAAACAGGAAACGAGGCGATTATTGCTTTTCTTTGTCGATCTGTGTGCCCGTTTTATCTTTCTGCTGGCAGATGTTCAAAGCAGCCGTCCTGCTTGTAAAAGGGATCCGAGCAGCTCCGGAATTTCTTCATTAGTCAATTAGTCTCTTCCTGCCTCCGCTTCCCAGAAAGTCTGGCTGCCTCCTGGGGGTGCCAGGTTCAAAAGATGACAGGCCTTGTGGGGGGGGGCTCCCCTTTTCAATGCAAACAGCCTGCTAACAATGCCCTTCCCTCTTTGCTCTCCCTCCCGCCTTCCTGTTGGCCTCGGTAGGTTTATTGCGGGTATCTGGGGAGCAGGAAGAACCCCTCATCCTCTGCCATTCAGGCTTTTAAGGACAGGAGTGCACAAATGGCCCTCTCGGGGTCAGCTGCTCTGGCACTCTGTTGTGTTGGGGGGGGGGGACCCCAGGACTAAAAACTTGGAGAGAGTGGGATGATAGATAGATAGATAGATAGATAGATAGATAGATAGATAGATAGATAGATAGATAGATAGATAGATAGATAGATGAAAGAGATATGATACAGATATATGGATGGATAGATAGATAGATGAAAGATATGATACAGATATATATAAATGGATGGATGGATGGATAGATGAGAGATACAGATATATAAATGGCTAGATAGACAGATAGATAGACAGACAGACAGACAGACAGACAGATAGATAGATAGATGGATGAAAGAGATATACAGATATATATAGATGGATGGATGGATAGAGATGAAAGATGATAGATATATATAAATGGATGGATGGATGGATGGATGGATGGATGGATGGATGGATGGATGGATAGATAGATAGATAGATAGATAGATAGATAGATAGATAGATAGATAGATAGATAGATAGATAGATAGATAGATAGATAGAGATATGAGATGGATGGATGGATGGATAGATGGATATGATATAGATAGATATGATAGCTAGCTAGCTAGATATGATAGATATAGATAGATAGATAGATAGATAGATAGATAGATAGATAGATAGATAGATAGATAGATAGATAGATAGATGAAAGAGATATGATACAGATATATGGATGGATGGATGGATAGATAGATGAAAGATATGATACAGATATATATAAATGGATGGATGGATGGATAGATGAAAGAGATACAGATATATAAATGGCTAGATAGACATAGATAGATAGATAGACAGACAGACAGATAGATGGATGAAAGAGATATACAGATATATATAGATGGATGGATGGATAGAGATGAAAGATGATAGATATATATAAATGGATGGATGGATGGATGGATAGATAGATAGATAGATAGATAGATAGATAGATAGATAGATAGATAGATAGATAGATAGATAGATAGATAGATAGATAGATAGAGATATGAGATAGATGGATGGATGGATGGATAGATGGATATGATATAGATAGATAT